ATCAACCGAGTCTGCACCTATTGCAAGTCTCGAGAGACTATTAACAACACTCGAAGAAGAAGCAGAAAAATAAGAGATATGGAGAGGGGCAAGGATAGACTGGTTAGCAGCATTAGAGGCAGGCCGTAGAGAAAGAGAATCAGAGACCTAGGCCTGATGCATATTTTCCATCTGCTGCATCTGATCATGGCGCTCCTTTGCCATATCCGCAATTTGGGCACCTGGTCAAACAGTTTGGACACTTGACCTGGGAGTTCACCGAGCATGTGACAGTCTATAAGAGCACGCATGATCTTTTTTTTGTCGGGCAAGGAGGGGACTGTTTTGAAAACAACCTCATGGTCCGTTTCCACTTTTCCTCCTCTGCCTTCTCTTGTTTGCCAGTGCTTTGTCGTAGAGGACTTGAACAACGGTTTGTCCTCTTCGTCGACCACATCCAATTGGGCCTTTTAAGGCCACATAAGCCTTTACCGCTGCCATGTTAGAGCTACCTGGGTTCTCAGCAGGCATCATGGGGGAAGGATTCAGCAAGTTCCTCAAGATGAGCGCTCTCCCTCTCCCTTTTGTCTCTCCCCTCTTTTTGTCCACGAGTCTCCACGAGCATCGAAGTATAAGCTCAGAAAAAGAAGCAGATTGGAAGCGCGAAGAAAGAGAAGGTAGAACTCCTAGACGGAGCGACAATGCATTTGGACTAGAGAGCAGCCAAAAAATAAAAAATAATTTAGATGAGAGTTCTGATCCAGCGTCTCAACCTGATCAGGCCGAGTACAAAATCCCCTGGAGCCCAATCTGATCAATTTCGTGAACGAACAACAAATTCAGACATCAACTCACGACATGCAACAATGGAGAATTGAGTGGCGTATAAGGTGAAAGCCAAGTCATGGACTGTGCGATAAAAGTATGCAAACGTCTCAACCAAGATCCCCTCGGCGGTGAGTGCTCTAACCAAAAGAATAAACTCCGAGTCCTAGACAAAAGAGAATGAGACTGACGCTCAACAGATTTGGGTCTGAGAGGCCCTTCTTGCTTGGGCCGGGCCCCACTGGGTACCTATGGGTCCCACGTAGGCCGTGACCGAGTCCAAACCAAGAGGAGTCCCTCATGGACCTAATTTCTGCCTCTACCGAACTGAAAAACAAATTTCAACTTCAAGAAGAACCTACTAACTACAGTCGTTCAAAGATAAAAGATATGGCGCTCAAAGCAAGTTACTTCACCTCTCCATCCATCAGGTGAGAAAGCAGTTTGCATACTCATCCACACAATCAAGACCACAGAGGAGTAGGAAAAGAAACCCAGAATAACCCCAACAGGACAAACAATACCATGCACACATTCATGGGCATGCCATCAGTGCACGACACCGACCTAAGTGGCCTGAGCTTCAAGATGAAGTAGAACTCACCCCCCTCTCATATGGTCCTCCTGACCCCTTTAATGCTACCCCTACGCTAGTGTCCTCTCATAACGCCCCGCCGATGCTGAAGATCAAAGTAGCAACTTGCAGTCCATAGATGCAGAATGGCTATTTCCCTCAAGCTCGCATACTTGAGGGAAGCCCATAAGTCGCCAAGTGTCTTCCTTAAGGTCAGATTCCAGGTGCGAGTGCCTCTCACTGTCACCTCTCCCAAATTGTCGCACGAAGTCTTCTTGGTTCATGTTGTACTTTATCATGTAAAGGACGCTGAACCCGTTTTCCAGCAGGTGCTGCTCCCCATCAATAGATGGAGCCTCTCCCCAGGTGCTCGTGATGTCTGAGCACAACAGCATCACTAGCACTGTAGGGACTGTGTTAAAAAAAAAAAGAAAAAAAAARAAAAAAAAAAAAAGAGTAAGTCTCGCCACCCCAAACTTACTCTCAAGCAACCTGGTGAGTCAAATGCCGCCCCTGCATAACCCTGCCAGGTGGGGGCAGCTTCCCTTAACCACGCTGCCCCATTTCCGTTAACCTTCCAGCCCTAACCCTAAGTGCTAGCCCTCCCGCTTAGGTTAGGGTTGGAGCGGCGAAGTCAACTCTTGCCAGGAAGTAGAATCCGCTCCGATACCAATGTTACGATCCTGGCCAATATCGAAGTACAAAATTCACAAGAAAGCACAATGTCGTCCAATTGCAAAAGAAATGAATGAACTCGAGAGGAGGGAGAGGGAAAGAAGAAGATGAAGAAGAGGATGTACACCAGCAAAGACCAATGATAATCCCCCTTCTTCTCGCCAACCGAACTCCTCCTCCTTCACTCCCCCCCTCTTATTCAATCAATTATAATAATATAATGATGAATGGCAGAACCAGAATCAACGTCTGAATCCCTCTTCCACTTCCAGCATAGCATGAGGTCCACCATAGTCAAGGCCACCCTTCTCCTTCCTCTTCACTTGGCCGAGGCTATGGCGGACTACTAGGGCCTTGCCCTCACGTGTAAAAGACAACGCAAAGCAGCTATGGCCACTTCCACTCAGACCGCCATGCCTGACTCTTGCATCGAAGCTTCTTGGTGCAGCTCTACCCAACAGGGGTCTTCCAAATGCAGCGCCCACCAAGGTGATGAAGATGGCGTTCACCATAGCCAGGTAAGTACCCCTGGTGCTCCCTTCTCCGAGTTCCTTCTTCCTCCTCCTGCCCGATCTCCTCCACCATAGCCAAGGTGTAGAGCTGGGTGCTCCTTCCCCACAGCGCAGTACACCAGCGCTGCTCGACCACGTGCTCCAGCAGAGTGTCGCCCAAATTTCCACGCAGCAAATGAGGAAGAGCTCATTGCTCTTCCCGGTGATATAGCGAGGCAGCAGCCTCCTTGGGCGGTGACTTCCAGGCCGCGCAGCCTCCAAGCAACCGGTAAGTCCTCCCTTTCGGAGGGAAATATAATTGCAGGCTCTGATATTGTCCGCACAGGCCCTAGACTCAAACTACTTGGACTGGTACCCGCCTAGACCTAGCCTACAGCTACTGCGTCTCTAAAAATGCCAACTTTTTGTCTTCTTCTGCTCGGCCTCCATTCCCCGACATATCTACCGCTACCTTGGGTGGTACCGGCCTACCTGCTACTCGAGTGTTTTTCCCCGCTGTTCTGAGTATCGCGGGCCTACCCCGCTACTTGAGTGTTTTCCAGCTGCAACCCTCAAAGTCACCGCCACAGGTAAGTACTGGCCCGGCGGAGCCTCCCAAACAAACAAGTGCCCTTGCGGGTCACACACACTCAAGCCGACAAGCACTCAGACAGGCATGCAGACCAAGAAGCATGCACACACACAGACTTAGAAAACTCAGCAGAAAGCGGGAATCTCAGCAAGGCATTCCTTCTAGCGGCAAAACTCAGAAATCGGCTGTGTTCTCAGTCCGTGTTTGGGCAGGTCCTTACAGGTTACTTTTCCACCGGCAAGTCGCTATAATACAATATTAACTCACGCAACACTGCTCCCCATTGTCTTTGGGAGGCCCGAGTGGACAGCATTGGTTACTTCCTTTTGGGAAGGATATACCACCCCTCACCCCTGCCTAAGCTAGCCTCAGCCAAGTCGCCTCATCAGGTTACCCTCTCTCTCCTGTTCTCTTTGTGCCCCCTCCCTCCATCTCACCTTGGCTGCTAAAACCCTAGGTCCTCGTGGTGACTGTTTCACACTCTCACTCTTTCTCTTTGCTCCGCTGCACTCCATCTCACCTGTGACTTCTAAAACCCTAGACCCTCGGAGCCTCTGAATCCATAGAAGCCGGTCCCACGCTACACAGCGGTGGTCCTCCCGGGAGCCCCTGAGGGGTCGACTGTCTGGACTAGCTAGCATGATGGAGTTGGTGCGGCCAGACGGCTGCAACCAATCGCCTCTGATCCTCCATATCCGGCCAGTTTCTAGCTGTGTGATGAAGGGCATGCATGATGCTGATGGCGCCCCACTGTTGCAACACTGTTCTCAATCCGACGCTAGACTGACACTCCCAGCTACCGTCTCCGGCAGCTCTGAGGGGGTGTCATCCAAAAGGCTTGCCTGTCCTCCTATCTGAGCAGCGAGTCTCCACACGCATCTCAAGGCAGCTCCTGTCCCAAGTTTCCCATTCCCTAGTGTGTCTTTCTGGAGTTTGTCTCCATGTTCCTTCCTCTCCTCAGTTTCCTGCCTGATCTGCTTTTCAACTCTGTTTCAGTCGATTGGCATTCGACTGTCTGGTGAGTTGTCCTCCCGCGCCTTCTCTGGGGGTACCTGCTGCAGGTCACTCACAAGGTGAACGGGCGAAGTCTTCTGCAAAGCTTTTCGTCCCGTTTTTCCTGGCTGGGGGGTTGCACGAAACAAGTGAGAAGGGCAAGGGTAGCATCAATTAATTGTTTGCCCGTGGTCCTGTCTCAGAGTTCACGGGTGTTCCCCCACAGTTGCTGGGCTTTCGGGCACCACAGCAGGCAATGAAACATATCTTCCACCTCAACCCAATCGCAGATTGCACAGCGCTCTTTGAAATCTATCTGTTGGCCTGTGCACTACGTTTGCTTAGCCACTAGCCACTTGTTGACAGGCAGCACTTGGTAGGTGATGAGCAATTGCATGCTTCTGACCCTCGTGTTGCGGATTGCCAGCATTGCGTTCCACGGTACCTTGGGAAGGTGTCTCCCTAGCAGACTCTTATGTAGTAACTTCTGCACTAGGCCAATTAGACATCATACGAATCCTGTATGACCAAGAGAGCAACGCCGGGTGAGTCTCTGTGTATCAAAGGACTTGTCACTGGATAAGGATCTGGATTGACACTCCCCCAAACAGATCGGAGCCTGAACTGTTCTGGTAAAAAAAGGAGAAAAGAAAAAAGATTGAGAGAGCAAGCGGCTACCCTTACTCTGTTTCTTTGTTTTCACCGCTCCCCCTCCCCCCCCCTTGCCAAAAACAAATCCTTCTCAACTCTCGAGTGGTCTAACTTACCAGGCCAAAGACATAAACTGCTCAGGTGTTAACAAAATCCGGTTTACGAGGTCAAAAGCATGGACCGGTACGGTTTGACTTTTAACAGAATCGCACCTACCTGGCTCCATGTGGCTGAAGGGTACACACATGCGATTGTTTACAGACAGCTCATGAGCTCAAATCGTGATGCAATCAGGAGAACAGAATAATTTATGAATTTAAACAGAATCCAACTTACCAGGTCAAAAACATAGACTCCGCCTGTGTTCAGAGAGCCCTCCCTGTCAGTGAAGCTGTTTCTTCTTATCCCGCCTGTAGAGTCACGATTCCCATCAGAGCGTGCAGTGGCGTTCAAGGTGTTTGTTTGGCTCCTTACTGTTGTCACACTCAAGGCTGCAAGTGCAATCCTCTCGGTTTCATCATCCTCTCTCTGGACATTACCGGATATATAGCCTGCACGTGTGCCCATGCATACAAGCATTGCCTTGTCCGGAAACATGAGCCGTATGACTTTCGTCGTTTCATGCCACATGACGCGATACTTCCCGTTCATTAGGTCGACCACCACACCCTCAAGTGCCTTGCCTCTGACAGTTGGTAGACCTTCCTTCTGCATGATCCATGCAGCGGAACTCCATTCCGAGGGCCCTGTCGGATCTCGGGGTGGAGGTGGTGAAGGTATAGGTGGAGATTCAACAGCTTGTGTGGGGGAGGAGTTTGCGTTTGCAGCGGAGGGTTGTGTGGAGAGGTTTGGGTTTGCCCCTGAAGGTTGCTCTGAGTTTGAACTGGAGGCTAACGCTGGGTTGTTAGAGTTGGCTGGAACAGCTGAGGAGCCTGGTGAAGTCGGCAAAGATGTTGCGTTGACCCTGCCGGATTCTTCTGCTACCTCCCCTTTCTTGACACCCTTGGAGGACTCTGTCATCCGTGATGACTTCCTCACCGGAACCCCTTCAGGTTGTGCAGGCACAGCTGTATCCACAAGAGAAGGGGAGGCTCTAGCATCGGGGTCAAGCATCGCAGGCAAGGGAGAACTGCTGCTGTCTGCATTTGCAGTGGCCTTGACTGGGTTGATTTCTTCTCCTATGTCCGCATTTTCTCTGTCGCCTCTTCCAATTATGGACGTGATTCTCGTCCCATCTGCATGGGCTACTAGCCTTTTCATCCCATCCTTTGATCTTAGTTCCATAATCAAATCCTCCCTTGTCATCACCTTCACTCCAGTCTCAGGATCGATTACTTCGACTCCACGGAGCTTCGGTACATGTCGGAATCTCGGTCTTGGGGGACTCGGAGGCCTTGTAGGAGGGGGAGGGATTACCGTCACTTCCTCCACTGGTGCTGTATCCTCCAATGATGCTACTGGTGTCTTCCTGCCACGTCTGCCGGACCTTGAAGGTGGAGTTGCAGCTCCACCTCTGCCACTCCTTTCCCCTTTTAAGCTCCCCTTGTCATCCCGGGCGCCCTTTCTGGGGGTTCTTGGGGATCTCGCATCCTTGTCACCCTCACCCTTTCTGGGTGTTCTCGGCGTCTTCTGTCCGTCTGATTTTTTCCCCTTGTTTGAGAATGACCTCACTTTCGAGGAACCTTTACGTCCACGCGAAGTCATACCACCTCGCTCCTCATTCCCCATCCCTTCTGGATCTACTGGCGGTGGCGGAGGTGGAGATGGAGGCTTTGGGGGTAATGGGTCATGCTGCAGGCACAATGCAACCGTACGTTATAGCCAGAAATCTCAGACATTGCCTCCCATGTTGAAATAGCACAAAACACAAACACATCATTATCAAGACGACCATCCCACATCAACAATGTCATAATGATGTCAAATTCCATGTGACCAATGTGAAAACTCTACATAACAAGCAAGAATGCCGACTGCTATAGTCATCAACTTACTGTCGTTGACTGAGAACGAAAGCCGTGTAAGAACTTACTCCGGAGCATTCTTGTGTATTCCATGATGAGTCTGCAGTAACTTTGTTAAACTCTACATAACAAGCAAGAATGCCGACTGCAGAAGCCCAGCAAGGAAGAATATCTATAGTAGTATAGTCATCAACTTGCTGTGCTTCACTGAGAACGAAAGCCGTGTAAGAACTTACTCTGGAGCATTCTTGTGTATTCCATGACGAGTCTGCAGTAACTTTGTTAGTTTGTACTTTATTTATCATCCTTATGTGGATTCGTGATTTTGACTGTAGTTCTTCAGGGGTCACGAAAGCATAGCACATATCAGCGGAACTGTGGAGAGTGACAGGGGCCAGGTAACTTCCAACGGTAACCCTTGGCCCTAAACGAGTCCATGGGTGCTAGATAAAGGGTTTTAAATTTTAATACCCTCTCCTGAGTCTTCTGGTCATCTGAATTCGCCGATTGATCACAATTTGATTGATTCAAATTTGAGTCTGATTGACGCAATTTGACTGCTGCAGTTTGATGTGAGGATCCGACAGATGGATGTGTATTCTTTCTTTTTTCTTCCGTTTTCTTTTTTTCGGTCTCCTAGCGCACCCCCCCCCCCCCTGCTGATCCGTCACCACATCTGTTATAATTTGGGTGGGAATTTGGAATTGTTTTTTTCCTTCCCTTTCAGATCAAATCCCAATGAGTGGACACACACAGGAGAATATTTGATGAAAGCGCTGAAAAAAAAATCATATACACCTGGGCACCCAGCCACAAGGTGACAACACTGACAAGGAGGGTGGAGCAAAAGACGGCGCTCAAAATCATCATATACACACCGCTTGGGGCAGCTTTGACTTCCTGGTTTATCTCCTCCACCACCACGAACAGCGAATGTTATGGACTTCGCCAGGGCTCGATCCCTGGTCTATCTTTTGCTGTTTCGGCTGCATCCCGTTTTCGGCCTGGCACCCTTTTTCCAAACCCCTCCTTTGGTACCGTAGGATTTTGGACAACTGGCGCCATGCTGCAATTCGGGCGCCACTTT